GTGGTACCTTTTTATCTACTTGCATTTGCATGCTTTCGAACTGCAAGGTTGGCAGGAGCTGGGACGGAGCAACGGGAACTCACCCCGTTTTGCAGGTTCGAACTGGTGACCTTTCGATCTACCAGCCCAGCAGCACAGCGGTTTAAATCACTGCGCCACCTGCATCCCCCAACTTAGATAGATTTGCTAAAAAAGAACACTAGAAAATTATGTTTGCAATTGACTGAAAGAGGTAAAAAATAATATACTTAGTGGAATCAGCTTGTGGGACTGGACTTCATGTATTCAACAGGTTGCTGCAAGACAAGTATCTAGGCTGCATGTCTGCCATTCCTCGGGCTGGTTTGGAAACATGCGTGCTGCACATTTCCATTTCCTACTGGGGATGAATGTTCGTGGAAAGACTTTATTTACTGCATGATATACCAGTCTTTGGATTTTGACCAGAGTTACTATATTGTGCATCAAAAATGGGCTGCAGTCCTCAACTTGCCAATTTAAAGCTTAACATTTCAGTTCACGTTAATGTAGCTCACTTCAGTCCACTTACGGAGTCAAAGAGACTGCTGGGGCACATTGAATATAGAAGCTCCTGCTAAAAGGAAGGGCAGGACAGGTTCATACTCAGCCCTGTGCAGAGACAAATGAGGCAAACCCAAACAAGATTATTTTAAATACAGTAATAAAACTTTATTTAAGGATGTTCTAGACAGGATTGTAGCCATGGGTGGTTCTGGTGGAGGGGAGTAGGAAGACTGTCATGGAGATTTCACAGGCCTTAGACCAGCCTTTCCCAGCCTGGTGCCCTACAGGTATTTTAGACTACAACTCCCAGTATTCCTGGCTATGCTGGCTGAGGCTGATGGGAGTTGAAGAAAAAAAATCTGTGGGGAACCAAGTGGGAGAAGTCTGCCTCAGGCCAAACTAGTCCTGGGAACAGCAGATAACCAGCCTAGAAAGTTGTCATTATTCACTGAAAAAGAAGTAGTGGTGGTGGTGGTGGGGTAGCCCAGAACAGCTTGCTCCCCAAACCAGAAGCTAAGTGCCTCTGTCCAGGGCACTCTCCAGGTTATCCTACCGCTAGCACCAAATACGGAGGAACAACTCAGGTGTTTTCCCTGGATATGTTTCTTTGTTAAACTGAAGCTATGGTCTGTGGAAATCCTTGCCCGAGTTTTTAATCAAAGGTCCTTATTAGATTTATATCCCACCTTTTTTCCTTACAAAGAACTCAAAGCAGCTTGAACTCAAAGCATTCTCCTGCTGCTGCTCTCAATCTTATCCTCACAACAACAACCCTGTGAGGAAGGTCGGGCTGAGAGTTGGAGACTGGCCCAAAGTCTCCAGTTAGCTCCATGGCTGAGCGGGGACTAGAACCCAAAGTCCTAGTTCCGCACTCTTAACCACTACGCCACGCTGACTTTGCCAGTTCTGCCATCCTGAAACATTTGTAAAGGATGCAATAAACATGCTCCAAACAAACAAACAAATAAAATAATAATTTGACCTCACAGCTAGGGAATGCTGACTCAGTTATAAATCCACTGTCATCAATCCACCCCTCCCCCCACTTATTCTAATATGCCCTATTAGTTTGGTAACTAAGGAGTAAGCATCGGTCTGACAACGCTAGAGACAATTGACAAAGTTTTGTGGCAACATAAAAGACTAACACATTTACTTTGGCTGGCATGCAAGAGATTGCTCTATTTGCCCACGTCGGATGCAGCAAGGCATAGATGGCATATATCATATTGGCGGATGAGCCTGTATGTGAGTCTTTGATGTGACGGACGACATGGCTACACCTGAATTGTAACACCCTGTATTGTCATGGGGTCAGGATGGGCACCTGGGACTCCAACAGGTCTGGTTCTATATCTGTTGGCATCTTCGCCTGTCCTTGCTGCTGAATTAACCCTCTGGCTGGCTGCACAGGTCTTACTCAATGCACCATTGTCCAGGATGTTCAATAGATGAGAAAAGGACATCTTTTGGTGGTCTTTCTTTGTTTTTAAGGTCCTACAAGCAGGACCTTAAAGTGTGGTTTTTGCTGCAACAGACTAACAAGGCTGAACATAAAACTAAAAGGTTTATTAAGGTAATTATATACCTAAGGTAACAAGGCGCCACTTTTCAAATAATAGGTTATGTTTGCCTAATCGGACTTAGGCTAAATATACTTCATTGCTATTTCTATTAAGAGAGTCTTTTTTGCTAAGATGCTCTCCATAACTTTCCTCTCAGATCAAATTTTCCTCAACTCCACCCCAGCTAATCTCTTGCAACCACGAACAGATGCTCTTGACAGCAGTTCTCCTCTGTCTCCACTTCTTCCTGTTGTCCCCAGCTACTAGAATTGCTTGCTGAAGATTCCTCCAGTCAGATGCCTGTTTGAAACCTTTTGGCGCTGGGCGCTGCTGCCTGCTTGAAGCTTCACCACAGCCTCACTCAACAGCTTCGGGTCTGGCATCCAGACATTCCAGTCAGGTCCACTCAGAGAGGGCTTTCTTCTTCCCCAGCTCTAAGCACTCTGCCTTAGGCCAACAACCATTAAGCCTAACCACCTTGTCATCAACTAACTTCAGTTTTCCCTAATAGTTCCCAGAAGCAGTTTAGAGTCCCTATTCCCATTTAAAGGGAAAAAGTCCTACACATTCCAGCCAAACTGGGGAATGCTGGGAGTTGCTGGGCCTTTTGGATTACATCTGAATGGGCTTTTTCCAACTCTCCAGGCCAGTCATATTCCTTATAGAACTTGTTAAATGCCAATCATCTTTGCTGATCCATCTGACCAATTCAAAGAAGGGTAACTTCAACTAGACATATTCTAACTTAGCAATTTATAAGCAACAGTAAGCAAGGCTGGGTGTGAAAGCTGGACCATGAAGAAAGCTGGCCGGAAGAAAATTGATGAGTTTGAAACCAGGTTCTGGAGGAGAGCTTTGCAAATACCCTGGACTGACAGAAAGATAAACATGTGGGTCCTCGATCAAATCAAGCAGGGCTTTCCTTAGAAGCAAAATAGCAGAGCTGATGCTGTCATACTTCGAGCTCATCATGAGAAGGCAAACTCCCTGGAGAAGACAATCATGCTAGGAAAAGTCAAAAGCAGAAGAGGAGGAGGAAGGGCAAATTAGAGATACATTGACTCCATAAAGGAAGCACAGCCTTGAACTTAGAAAAGTTAGGCAGGGCTGCATGGTCAGGACATCTTGAAGGGCTTTCATTCATGTGATCACCGTAAGTTGGAGACAACCTAATGGCGCATAACAACAAACCAAGGCTGCCACAACTGTTCTTGGCCCCATATGTGGTACCCAAGCCAGAATCCTGGCCTGCTGACTAACATGATACTATCACAGGGGTCAGTCAAAACAAAGAGACATTGCAAAGCACAAACAAACATGCAAATTCAGTGTTTCCTCACAGTCCTCCTTTAAGGCCAACATTTTAAAAAGTCTTGCTGCACTGTTCAAACACCTGCCTTCATCTGTCTTCCCCGACCCCACCTGGCTCTGCCACTCCACTCCACAGTGCCAGCTGAAGCAGGCTGCCTCCTCCTGTGGATTGCAGCAGTAGCCCTGTGTCACAGAGGAAGGAAATACCCAGCCCTCTTCTGTGCGGAGACAGAAAGAAGAGTGCGGAAGCAAAATTCCTCCGTTACTCCACAAAGAGTAAACATGATCCAGGCTTCTAGTTTTCCAACTGATGCTGGTCCTAGAATTACTAACACACAGCAGGTAGTTACTTTTCAGTCTTTATAAATAATGAAAGTTTTATTTCAGTAATATAAAAACTCAAATAACATTAAAACATATTAAGCTACCAGTACTTGATTTCTGGCTGTCTTTATAGAGTCACACCCCTCAGTTTGCATATTCATGAGTGTCTTCCTCAAAACATTTCTGGCTTCTTGGCTGGTGCCAGGCATTAATTCATAAATGTATCAGTACAGCTGAAAAAAAGAAAAGCAAAAAGGAAAACCCATCAGCATCTCCTTAGAGGATTTCACAGTGGTAATTGCCAACTTTATATGTTTTTGCATATAAAGGTCAAAAGGATTGATTGATGGATCCTGTTCTGGATGGCAGCCTTTGTAAAAAAAACAAAACAGTGGCAAGTAGAGATAGAAAGTGGATGCAAGAAACTTGTTCTCCACACAGAATCTACCACCTAGGCACTTGCTGCGTATGTATCACCTCAAGGGAAAGCTTCAGGGGACGGACCAAGGATACCTTTCAATGACCATGTGAGCAGATGCTTTCTAACCCTTATGTTTCAGTGTATTATTATTAATAATATTACATTATGTGTATGCCTCACCTTCTTCCTGTTGCAAGGAAGCCACGGGGGTTACAAGAGTTTCCTGCTCTCCTCACGAAAACAGTCCTGTGAGGTAGGTTAGGCTGAGAGTCCGTGCTGGCTCAAGGTCAGCCAGTGAACTTCATGGCCACATGGAGCTAGAACCCAAATCTCTGGAGTTCTGGTCCAACACTCTAACCCCTGTGCCACACAGGCTCTCATTGTGGTGGCCGATGGGATTGGGAGAGGCAAGAATCTATTGCCTTAGTTAAGTGAAAATGGAGCAGGCAGAGGTCGAAACTCTCCGTTTCAAATCAGTCCTGAATCCTCAACACGCATTCACAGGTATTCTTGGCTGACAGCTGACCAGGGATGAGAGAGGAGCAGGCGGAAGACCAAAAGGAGGATCTGGTGGGGCCACGCATTGCTTGCAACTGCCTGCAATTCCTGCGGGCTGCGGTGCAGATTTAATATTATCTGGATGACACTGTCATCTTTCAGATGAGGTGAGTGCCATCTATTATTCCCTGAATACTAAGTGATGGAATTAAAGCCTTAAGCTGTTCACAGCTTACTCCCGCTGTGCTTGTCTTCCACAATAATTAAAGTAAGGAAGAAAAAGCCCTGTGTTTCTTTTCACAGTTCAGGCTCGTTTTGTCTTGGTGCTAAAGCAGCTGTGAACCTGGGGACACTCTTGGGGTTCACACCACCTCTCTCTGCTCTGCAATTCTCCGTCAGCAAAGAAGGGAGGGAAATCAGCATGATCCGGTTGCTTGGCGGATTTTTTTTTTCTTCACCTCCAATTACAGGAGATTTTGAAAACAAACAAATTAAGCAAAATATCATTCATTCATTCATTCATGCATTCATTCATGTTGCTGCTAGTACTTGGTGGTAGGGAAATCCCGCCCTGACATGTCACTCAAAAGGGGTTTTCCCGCCCAGCGAATGGAACACCTCTCCTGCCTGGAAAATACTCTGGCCCCGCCCTATTCAAATAAGGGGGAGGGGCGTTCTCTCCTTGAATGAACACTGGATGCAAACGGAGAAGGGAAGCGCTGGATTTGCTAGTCTCATTTCCAAAAACCAAAGCGAGGTAAACGGGCGGGGCGGGGGAAACTTTGAGTTACCAATCAGGCTTTTTCTCCCAGCCCTCCAGCCTATCGGGAAGGGGAGAGGCGGGCGGTTTCTACGGTGTTTCCCCAATGGGGACAAGCGGAGGAGCTAAATTGAGAACAACAGTAGCGGGAGGACTCGGATTCTTGGTCCTCCTCCCTCCCTCCCTCGCTGGTCGTGGCATCGCATTGCGAGAGTACCTGCCTGCCTCTGGACCAGCAGCAGGTGAGATTGGCTACGGGAGGGAGGGCCGGGCCGGGCCGCTTCTGTGAGGCGGGAAGGAAAGACAGCAGCGGGGAGAATGGCTTTGGCATCAGCAGAATTAAGACGCTGGTACGAGCCAACGTGTAGTTTTGCTTTTTGCCGGAGATGCGGGTGCGTGGGGCTCACAGGGGAATCCATTCGGATGGCGCTGAGGGAACCAAGATCCTTGGGAGGCAGGGTGGACACGGCCCCCCCATCCAGACCCTGGCTTGGAATTTGCCCTCCCTCTCCTTTCTGAAGAGGGGTGTGCTGATGGTGGGCGACATCCAAGAAAGTTGACAGAGGTACGAGAGGCTGGACTCTCTTCCTCACCCTTTAAAAGGGGTGGGAAAAAATAATTGGAGTGATGCCCACGGGAATGCTGCTGAAATTGAAGGGAGCACCCGAGTCGACCTGTAGTCATTCGCGGGTGTCCATTTAAGAAACCGGCAGATTGGTGAGAGGAGGGGAGCGGCAGCAGCCCCTCTTAATCTGGGCAAAGAGCGTCCCCGTTGAGGAGGCTTTAGGGCCCACCTCACTGCCCTTGTATACAGTGACATGCCCTGCGCGGGTGAGTGAGATCCTGTTTCTCAGAGAACGCGCTGGACAAACACAACAAGTAAGCGGAGCTGCTAGTCCATAAGAAACATTTCCCAGTTATACAGTAGGGCAGCGCTTTTATTGGAACTGAGCGGGATACTGCTATCAGACGGATCCGTAGCCATCCTACAAGTTCTGTGGGGTGGGCGTCAAAAAAGTCTTCTGGTTTGCAGGCCTTTTAAAGACCGAAGTGCAAACTGTTTTTAAAAACTACTTGTTTTAAAGAAAATATCCAGGGTCAGAGAGGGTTGGACTGCAACTCCAGTCATTTTCAGCCAGCACAGCTCCGGTTGAGGCAGCCTGATCTGGCGGGCGCCGGGGGTAACTCGTCTCGATCCGGAGAAAGGCATCCAGTCGCTCGCCAGCAGAGAACTTCAGCTGCTGGGACTTGTCAGGGCGCTGCAAAGACTGGGGGTGGCGGCTGCGTAGGTAGGAGGAAACTGGCCCGCCCGCTCGCCCGCTGTGCGAGGAAGCGAAGAGCTGGCTCCCGCTCCTGGAGCCACTCGCCCTCCCTCCTCCCGGACCCCAGGCCGACTAGGCTGGGGAAGCTGCCGCCGGGCGCTCCGCTCGTCTCGGGCGCGGGGAAAGGGCTCCCGCGCTGGAGAGCACGCAGCGCCTTCTAGAGGAGAGAGCAGGCAATGACAGCTGGGTCGGGGTGCGGGGAGGCAAGGTTTTCGGTAGAGCGGCCTTGCCCCAGCCTGGTGGCCCCCTCCAAGTGTGTGGAGCTGAACTCGCACCATCCCTTCTGAGGATGATGGGAGCTGCAGCCCCACAGGCCTGGAGCAGGCCATCAGGTTGGGGAAGGCTGCAGGAGAGAGCACATCTTTGCCAGGCGCACCTTGCTCTTGGCTCATGTACTTGGTTTTGTTTCTCAAAGGGCTGGGTGCTGAGTGGAGCAAACTGCAGGCTTATCCTCCAGATTGCCGGATGGTGAGGTAAACCTTCAGCCATTTCCCTCCCCGCGCATGAGGGACTCTTACTACGAATGCTGCTAAATGAGGGCACCCCCTCCCCTCCAAGACTCCTGCATGCAAGTGGTTCTCTTTATTTAAACGCTCCTGCTGCATCTCAGGTGGGTCCTGGTTTGGTTGGCCTCATTTTTCAAAGCGTGCTAACAGGGCAGCTGCAAGTGGCACCTGAGGCTCAGACGGCCAGCGCAGCAGAAATGAGAGACTCTGCCCAGTGGGGCAATTCTAGCAAATGAGCTAGCTAGCGAATGAGCTGGGAGAGGAGTGGGTGAAAGTTTATCTTCATCAGTAGGACCTACTGGTGACCTTCTGACAATGTTGTGCAAGTGACTTGCAAAGGTTTGCAGAAGTGGGTCTGTCTTACCCTTCATTATGTGCTTTCTGCTGTAGACAAAGAAACACCTTAGGATGCTGACCTATATCTGTTTAGACGGAAACATTCCTACACTTCCAGCACCCCCCAGCCAGCCATGTGCTTCTAGGGCTTCAATACACACCTGATGACGTAGGCTCTGGCTCATGGCAGTGCCTGTCACAAGGCATCCTTTGCTGCTCTTCTGCAGCGGGCCACATGCCCATTGTGTGTGCTTTTTAAAATATATTGCTTTTATTGCTGTTTTAAGTTTGGTACCCAGTTAATATTCTTGCTGATTTCACTGTATTTTTCAACTTTTGCACATTTCTGTTTGCTTTAATGCATGATTCTTTAATGTTGTAAGCCAACTTTAAGTCCCAGTATTGCAAAGAGGCAGAATGTAAATAAATATCATAATAAGGCACTGTTTGCGACTTGTTTTTGAAGGCTGCATAACATATGGAGTGGCAGTCGTAGGGTGGTTTAAAACATGTGCATGAGTTTTTGGGAATATGCTTTGTTCCCTCCTCTGTCCATGCAAACGTATGACTGCTTGAATAGCGCTCTGGTAGCTTGAGTTTGCAGGTCTTGTATGCATGCCATACGCTCTGCTACTTAAGGGACCATACATGCATTGCATAATATGCCTGGCCCACGTTGTTTGGCAGTTGTCTGGGTTGGATGTGATGAGAGTATTGCAGAATGCCGTGGCTAGGGACTATCCCTTCCCACACCATCCCTGTTTAAATAGGGATAGTGTCTTTCCTCCTGGTCAGCTATCAGCTAAGCTGGAAAAATAATCTGTTTTGCTCAGAAGTGTTCCCATCAGGCTTTAGGTGTTCCTCCATGATCTTCCCAACCTCTCTGAGGTCTCAGAAATTACAGCAAGAGGAGATGGATTTTACTATTTAGTTATTTAAAATATTTTATCTCACACTTCAGCAAAAAGACTTCTGCAGTAACTTATAAATCATTCATTCAGGAAGACAGTCCCTGCCTGTAGGTTGCAGCCTAAAAAGACATGACATGCAAGGAAAAAGGGATGGGTAGGGAAGAGGAAAAATACAGCATAGTTCTTTAGCAATGCTGGTGGGATGGTTCCCTTCTTTTTCTGTTACAGCTGGCTGGAATGGCTGCTGGTGTGACTTTCATGAATAAGGACTTTGACAGGGCTGGTCGAATGGCTCTGCCTTCCATCCCATCTCCTCTGTAGAGACGTAGCTTGGTAGAGGTAATGGCTCAAAGTGCAGCTTCCTGGTTATGGGGGTATTCTCAATTGGCAGAGGAAAAAAAAAATGTTCTTGACTCCCTTCATTAAAAACACCCCACAAATCTCACACACACACACACACACACACACACACACACACAGAGCCTTGGTTCACATGCTTGCTGTGTGGCTGACAAGCCATGGGCTGTAACTGAGTTGTCAGCTGCTGCCCAGACCCCACAAGCTGTGCTATCAGCTCAGATGGCACAGCAGGTAACACCTGTGCAGGTAATTTGGGAAATGGGGCTGGCATGTGAGTGGCACATGCAGTGGGAGAAAAGAAACCATCATGGCTTTTTGTCTGCATTGTGATTGTGCAAACAGGCCCACGGCAAGGGAGGAAAAAATGGGTAAGCCGTGGAGCCATGAAATCAGGAGGTACAAGCAGGTCTGTGACACTTTTATCTACAAAACTCAAACATCGGTATAAGATAAGAACAGTGTCTATTGACAGCAGCAGTGATTAGCAATAGGAGATTCTCTCTAGATTTGCCATGCTAATTTGACAGCTCCTGTCCACGCCTAAATTAATGGAACCGAGCCTTCTGATAAATTCTTAGTTCAGCATTTTTATTTTGGGGTCTCCCTCTGAAACCTTTTGTCAAAGAATCAAGTTGGCAGCAAAATGTCCTGGGAATCTGAAATGTTCTCTCACTGCTTGCTGAACATCCATCGCTTTGATGTCAGCTTTGCGACCTCTTATTCATTCACATGGGGACTGTGCTTGTTTCTTTCTCGCTTGTCTTCCTCCCTTGAGGAGATCGTTTTGGGCTGGGAGCTGAGCACGTACAGTGGGTAGAAGCAGCTGAGAAGCTCTGGCCTCCTGGGCTGTGATCCCTTGACCTAAGAGAAGGCACACAGTGCCGATGATGTAGTCCAGATGAGCGTGTGGAATCCTCTTCAAAAATTAATTGCTGCTAATCTCGTGTGAATGCTTGATGATTCTGCTTTACTTACAGATGGTGGGCTTGGTTCTTTAGCAAAAGTAGGGAACTTTAAGTGATGTGTTCATTTCTGCCTACAAAGTTTGTATGAAAATTATGCTGAATCCCACTTCTTCCCAGTTGTTTTGTACTGTTTACTTAAAGCAGTACCAATTTCATTAAAAATAGTACTTTGCATTCTGTTACATTGGTGCAATACTATGTGCATTTGGGGAAGAAAGCCTTACAATGCAGGAAGTTGTAGGACTGTTTTCTGTTTGAACATGTACGGGATTGTGCCATAAGTATTTTAAACTATTCAGACTGCTTCGCAAAGATTAACTTGATAATCCTTATAACAGCCGTGTAAAGCAGACTGCTTTGATCTCCCTGTTACAAGGGGGGCAGATAAGCAATTGAGAAGAGAGAGCTTTCTAGGGTAACTTGCACTGCTATTCTGTATGTGTTTACTCGACTGTGTTTAGTGGCAGCTCTCTTCCAGGTTGCTTTAAGAGGCATAGCTTGGCTCCTGGGCTTCTGAAACACATTCACAAGATTTTTTTTCCAAAGCCATAGTTCTGTAGAAATAAGGCAAAAGGAAGGACTGTCAAAACTGTGCAGCCTTTTTAATTTATAGGAGATATTCAGTGTTAATCACTGTCAAGGACAGCATTTGTGGTCCACTAATTAATTGAAGTGGTAGGTGGTACCTTAAGCAGCATTCACAGTTGCTTGCTAGTTGTGCTGTCTCTCACTCTTAGAGTCCAATCATTCCAGTATGGCTTCTCTCTCCTCTCTTAACAAATTGTTGCATGCTAGTTTAGAGTGAAGACAAAGAAAACTTGAAAAGGGGATAGAAAAGAGCCCGGCTCTGTGCATGTCTGCTCATGAGTAAGTTCCATTGAGACTCACTCCTGAGTGTGTGAGTAAGATTGAAGCTTGAAGCAAGCTTATATTTGGAACCAAGGTTTATCTCCCAAAGCTCATATTTTAGGTGCATTACAAGTTATGCAGCTCAGTAAAATAGAAGTAGGCATTTGCAGCTTCACTTTTTGAAAATCTTGATTTGCATTCTCCTTTCTGAACCTGGTAGCTGAGATTTCCCTTCTATGAAGAAGTGGGAAGAGCTGCAGACAGAATGGTGTGGGAGGGGACTGGGAGCTATGGTAGTAGCACCAGAATGTGGGACACACCTGCAGACATGGGTGCCATTCATACTCATCTCTGCAGCCACTTAGGCTAAAAACTTGCTTTTCCTCTTTTGTTATAAGTGGAAGTTGAGGTTTTCAGAAGCACAGACAGTTTTTCCATGGAGTTCTGTCACTTCTATGAATGTGATATGACTTCAGAAAAACAGCTTGGGCAGAGTGTTTTTCATTTATACTGAAGTGACAGACCTGCACTCTCCAGGTGCTGAACTCCAGCACTCGTCAAGAAAAATGATAAAGGACTGATTTTTCCTCCAGAAAGTTATATCTTCACACACACACACACACACACACACACACACACACACACACGTTCTCTCTCTATTACACACATACAAATGCACCTATGATATCTATAGAATTTAATAAATTCAGATACAAATAGTTGCATCAATTTCCTTTCCTTGTCATGGTTTTGTCTTGTTGAAATTCACAATTTTAAAAAAGCGCCCACCCATCAGTCCCAGCCAGTGTGACCTGACAGTGGGAGTTGTAGCCCAGCAGCCTGTGGTGCAAACAGGCTCCTCCCTCGCTTTTCACACTTACAGCAGATTCCTGACGCTGCACTACATATTACTAGGGAAATAGATCTGAGCTGGAAAACTTAATTTTAATTGCTGTTGGCTTTAGGATTGGAACGTAAAACGAATTCAAATGCTAAGTCAACTCTAGCTGTGTGTGTGGAGTGTGGCACGGAAATGTCACCATATAGAAAATGGATTCGTGTGTGTTCGAAGGAAGGACTTATATGCTTCTTTATTCAGTGACCTAATAAAATCAGACAGCATGAAACATCTGGCAGCTCTTTTTCATGGGTAAAATATAGTTCAGTGTGCCATTAAGCATATCCACTCCACCGGGTTGGATGCACAGTGCTGTAAACCTGAGAGGGAGAGCAAGAAACTGAGTAGCCTACAAGCCAATCAAAGCTTTACTTGCATCCAAAATGAAAGCAAGGGAGGCTGACCTTGAAACCTAGAATTGCAGTTAAGTGCATCACGGAAACGGTGTGTGCATTTGTGCGCTGCACTTGTCATGTAATGCTTGGGCCTTGGAAGGCCCTGTTTTCCTGAAGGGACACCAAGTTACAGCTAATTGTTTACCTTCCATTCATAATTATTGCTTACGTGCCCATCTTCAGTTCCTTTTTTGTAGAAAGTTGAGTTGGATCAGCACTCGTAGCTGCTGCTGATCTTATATAGCCCAGAAGGGTTGAACCCAAGAGCTGAACTGCATTTCAGAAAAGCTCTTCTCAGAAGCACATTTCAGTGGTAGGTGAAGCCAAAAGTATGGAGACAAAATTCCAGTGGACTTTAGCTTGAAACTTGTGTTGCTTGCAGGTAAGGCC